TTTAGATTACAGTATCCAAGAATACTTTATTGTAGAATAGTCCCAATCCAAAAATTGGCAACATTTGTCCCATTAGGAAGGAAAAATCCTCCCGTATACCATTTAGGTTCAAAATAAAAAACAAATCATTTGAAAGTCACGCGCAATCTTCGCGAAAACTTCTCGTGGACACATGACAGGGGGGATTGAATATTTTCACGCATATGTTCGCCACCACAGAAACATAACTAAATATAATGTATTTATTGTATTTTTATGACAAAACTACGCAAATATTTATTGTTTTTATTATAAATCATAAAAATACAATAAATTCAATATATTTAGTTATGTTTCTGTGGTGGCGAACATATTCGTGAAAATATTCAATCCCCCCTGTTATGTGTCCACGAGAAGTTTTCGCGAAGATTGCGCGTGACTTTCAAATGATTTGTTTTTTACTTTGAACCTAAATGGTATACGGGAGGATTTTTCCTTCCTAATGGGACAAATGTTGCCAATTTTTGGATTGGGTCTATTCTACAATGAAGTACTCTTGGATACTGTAATCTAAATACATATGGAAACGAAGAAGTTGCATTTATCAGACAGAGAAGCGGCGAGCCATTAAAATGGTGGCAATTTGGCGGAATATCGAAGGACACAATATCGAAGGTAAAATACACTGCACTGTTACAAAAGTGGATGAAACCTTCTTTGAAATCTTCTTCAGCCATTTATGATTATGTAAAAGTACAATAACTGGATGATATTTGCGAGATTTGGCGATAAAAAGCAAACAAGACGGCAAAATATGGCTGAAATCGTGTTTTCGTGGGGGGTAAGTGAAATAAAATGTATTATATTTAAAGAAAACAATGACAATCCTTATGAAATCAACAATATTTATATTAAATTAAGCATAGTTTTTCACCCCATGATAATTTTTTTTAGGAAATAAGAATATTTAATTTCTGCCATGCATATTAGTTATTTTGTGCATAATCAGCAATTTACCTGGGGTGGTGCATAGTCATTTTCTGGTAAAATATTATACTTCGACAAATTTTTCCTTTCAATGACCACCCCTAAAAGCAACCCTTCTAAACACTATAAGCACTTCAGAAAGCCTATCGCTTTTCCTTTTCTGAAGTTAGAGCTATGTCGACACTGCCGTTTCAGGGCGGGGTCATTTTCAGGACTTTCGCCCCAGATTCAGGTTTTCGCACATATGCATGCCATGTTGACCGCCATGGTCATTTTACCCTAACACAGTTGGGATTACCTGTCCTAAATGAATTGCATACAAACTCATATACAGGTCCTAGACTATATGTATATATTAGACGGTAGAACGGTGTTCTTGTTTATTTTCCAGATATTTTAAAGATTTTAACGAATTATTTTGCGTGCATTTTTATTTTTTATTCTTTTTTTAACATAAACTTTATTTAGGAACAATTCGGGAAGTCATTTCGTGTTTGAAATTTTGGACTTTTAAACTTTCGGACTTGTTTCCTTTTTTAATTAGCCAAATATTACTGATATAACGACCCTTTAATATATCATACTGTTTTGCAACATGTTTTTTAACTTTTTTTTTAAAATCACAAGTCGTATAAACCCTTCACGTTTCAAGTCATTCTTGGGAGTTAAAAGCCGAGGCAAAATTTTGCCAAACGAAGCTAATTAAGCGCTTATTTCGGCGAAAAGTTACTCTATTTTTCATAAAAAACAATTTAAAAATTCAGTTTTCTTTATGTGATTTATACTAAAACAATTAGGCAACTCAGCCTTTTTTTCTCTCAGCGAATAGTAAAATCGGCTTTGCCTCGTCGACTATACGCTCATATACAACTCTAATTGTTCATTAGTATAAACCTATTAGCAGGTTATGATATTTCGCGTTTCAGATTGGCTAAGCTACTAGTAAGCTATTAAAGTGTTAGCTCAACTACCACTGGTTATAAATGTCTTAACTCTAAAAACTGTGGATATCAATTCACTTTTTTCTCCAGTGTTTCATCACATTTACCAGTGAACGAAGTTTGAAATTATCATCTTGCATGATAGCAGTGATATTAGATCATTTTGAGAAGTTGCAGCCAACGTGACGTCATAAATTAGCGGACATATTCACACTTATTTACATATCAGAGAAATTTAAATATCTCGGGAACAAATCATAAAAATAAGAAACTGAAAAATAAGTTACACTATAGCTTAAAGAGTTCCTTCATTCAAGAATATAAGAAATTTCATGTCGTACTGGTACACTTTAAGGTAATTCAGCAGTTTTGCATTGCGCACTTTTACTGCGCACATCTTATAACTTATAATTTTATCCATTATACGTACCGTTTAAAACAAAATATCCTTTTATGACAATTTTATGTTACTTCAAAACATCTTTGGTTATATTCGTGCAAAGAATTACGTTAAAATCAATGTTTTTAAAAAAAGCATACAAAAGTGTAGCTAGGGTTCCTGTGTCTGTAATATATTTATTTACTTGTATTTCACGTTTTAATGCCACAAGTCCCTAAAAAGATCGATGACCCCCGTTCTTCTAACTGATAATTTATTTCTTTAATGCATTTTACATTTCATATCCGATATTAAAAGAAAAATTAATTCTGGATTTTGAAAAAAAATGCTTTTTCAATGCATGTTTTCAAAGAAAGATATGTTAAGAAATGTGCAAAAATTTGTGGATCAGAATTGTATACGTTAGTAGTTTCATTTTGCTCAAAACACAACAATTTTTCAAAAATAATTACAAGATAGGTTTACTAAAGCAAAATCCGCGCTAAAAGCGTCAATAAATATCGGGCTGTTGTTATTTTTGAGATTGCCCCATATTGTGGTAAAGGTGGTATATTGTGATTTACATATCTTCTTAACGAGTTCAGTGACCCCGAATTTTTTTGTGATTTACTTTATAAGTATATCATAAACTCCATGCCTGGGAAGTTTCAGCACATTCTCATTTGGGGAACAATTACTGCGGAATTACAGTAAGCATCGTTTCCTTCCTTTAATTAGCCAAACTTTGCTTGTATAACAACCGCTTACTATTATATTATTTTAAGACGTGTTTTTTAACTTTTTGAAAACTCAGAAGTGCTATTTTTCGACTAACTCTTGGGAGTTTCCAACATTGGGTAGTTATTAACAAAGCTGAGGTAAAATGTTTCTAAAGCCAAAGGAAGTCATTTAAATGCTCATTTCGTTAAAAGGTTATTTGTCTTACATGCTAGAAATACATGCATGCAATAACCCCTCGCCCATATTTTCCAAACATTGTTTCAACGTGAAGTACTCGTAATTACGCCAACACTGAACGCAGGCTCGCGTTGCCACGTCATGTTAGTCATGGCAGCACGATAATTGTTTGTTTCATTTTTTGTACAAACCTACCAAAAATATGCAAAATTTTAACACTTTCAAATACTATCAGTTTTTATAATATATAAAGTAGGTATATTATTTTGGTTTCTATGGCCTTTATTTTAATGTAAAATTCAAAACGAAACTCCACGAAAAACGTTTTTTTATGTAAATTGAAATTAACGGCTTTTTGCCAATATTTATAAACTTCTCAACTCGAGCTTCAATTTATTACTCGCACTTTGAAATGAAATAAATTTAATTCGTACAGAACGCTAATGAAAATAATTTGATTCCTTTTATTATGAACTTCTACAAAAGTTAATTTGACTGAGAAACTTTCGCAAACAACAGTCTATATTAAATACAAAGTCATACATAAACAACTGAAACAAACTTGTCCTATACATTAGGATTTCTCATACAATATCAATTATTATAAATGCTTACGTTTAAAAATTGCAAAAACGTTTTACAATTTGTTATGTGAAACGATTTTCCAAGCTTCTCACATGTATTTTTTTATATTCTTTGCCTTCTTCACTCCTGCCAAACAGCCATATTTTAAGATCAGTGAGATGACCGCCCACCAAAACATGCACAGTGATTCACGCCCGCGATCATTGATAAACTTTAGATTTCGCCAATGCTTTCGTTTCCCCGGGTGTAAATAGTCGGGCGGAATTACTGCCCTCTACCGCGCTTACGCCCAGAACGGCGCTCCGCGCCTTAGGCTCGAAAATTTAGTTTTCTTTATGTGATTTATACTAAAACTATTAGACAACTCAGCTTCGTTGTTTCTGAGCAAATAGTCGACTGCGCTTCGCGTCGTTGACTATTCGCTCATAGAAAACTCGGTTTCGTTGTCTCGTTACTTAATAGTAATTGCACTGATTGGGAGTGCAATTTGGTCTGAAATCAAATGTGTAATTACAAAATCGCACAACCGGGAAGCGGGAGTGAGTTTTGTAATCGCAAGTTTGATTTCAGATCAATATTGCACTACGCGAAGTGCAATTCCGACTTTATTACATTTATTATGAAATCTTAATTTTGAACAGTTTTGTAAAATGGAAACTGCTCCTTGTTTGCGAAAGACGTACACCCCTGTCGTACCCCCCCCCCCCCGTAACGCCGTAACGTAGCGAAGAAGTTTATACTTTCTTTAATTCAATATTGAAAAGTTTGACAAAAAATAAAGAATCGACATTTATGGATACTGTTGTTACGACCTCAAAACATATAGCATACACACACAGATGGTGTTTGTAGAAGCCTGTATTTTTAACTAACAACAATTTACACATAGAAGTCATTCATGCATACCAAAGGCCTAATTAAGTTGACAACTATGCGCAAGCACAATACTATATAATTCTGATCTATATAATTCTGGATCATTTCTCCCTTTTTTCAAAGAAGAAAGCGTCACACTTAATTTATTATATAATACCAAACCATGAGTGTTCGAATTATAAAGTTCCTAACGTGTTCTTTAACTAATAGAAATAAATGACTCGTATGATGATTATGTAGATGAGGGGAAAGAATTTCTCGAGGGAAAAGTAAAATACTACATTAATTACAACTTTGATTGCAATTCGCCTGGGGTGATTTATTTGATTTATTGTGGAAAATGTGGGAAAAAGTATGTGGGGAGTACAATTACTAGTTTTAGGATACGTTTTAACAACCACAAAAGTAGCATGAATAGATATGGGAGAGGTGAAAGGGGTATGGCAGGCGAGCATTTGTATGCTCATTTTTTTATCAAGGTCATAATGGTATGCAAGATGTGAAAGTTAAAATTATTGATAAAACTAATGTTACATGTCCCACACCAAGAGAAGGTTTTTGGGCTTATAAACTGAATTCGTTTGAACCGCATGAGTTAAATTTAAAAGACTTTGTTTGAACAATAGAGTTAATCAAGCGAATTATTATAATTAGGGTATGGACAGTTTAAATAGTTGAAATCAAGTACATGTAATCTGAAGAAGGGGCTTGCCCCGAAACGTAATAAAAAGTTGTTATATGAGCTCTGATGTATCATTGATTGATTTATATATATATATATATATATATATATATATATATATATATATATATATATATATATATTTATATCTTAAAATTAATTATTGCTACTCAAGTTTCACGCCTTATTCAAGACGATCTTCAGGCAATATTGCCTGAAGATCGTCTTGAATAAGGCGTGAAACTTGAGTAGCAATAATTAATTTTAAGATATAAATATATCTTGCTCTACTTTTGTATTAGTGTTGAGCACTTTATTATCTACTACAACAAAACAAATTATATATATATATATATATATATATATATATATATATATATATATATATATATATATATATATATATATATATATATATATATATACTTATCGTCTAAGGCGTGTTCATTTAACATAGTCTGCTACATACGCTGGTTTCCTCTTGATTCTTCTCGGTCTTGAGATCGGTTGTTTGACCATTGATTTGTCTGATTGGTTGGTTCAGGCCCTACGCTACTGTTTTCTGGTATATGATCATGGATCTCCATTGGCATTTCTTCGACAGCCTCTTGAACTGCTCCAGGCTCAGTCGTTGCATTCGGAAGTGTTGTCTCTTTGTCTGATATTAATTGTTTCTGTGTGGTTTCTTCTGCGCCAGGATCTTCTGAATTATCCTGAGAAATGGCGTTTTCTTCAACAACTATCGTCCTCGGTTCGTGATCTTCTATAAGCATGTTTGCTTGTTTTTATTGGCTTGCATTCCGGTAGACTTCACGACCGTCCATAATTCTTCTCGACGCTATAATTGACCCGTCTACCCGAGTTACTACATAAAATGCTGGTTCGTATTCTGTGGACCACTTGTTTCCTTTGCTTTGTTTCAGATGAACATGGTCTCAAATAGCAAAATTGTGTTCTTTAACTTTTCTGTTAGATGGCTTGCATGGCATTTTGTTTTATATACTTTGTCTCTTCGATTAATCTTCGCGTCTTTTGGATTTCTGAGGTCGGCTTCTTGGTGGCCGGACATTTTCCCGAAAGACACTTTGCCGAACGAAATTTTGCCGAAAGACATTTTGCCGAACGGACATTTTGCCGACGGACATTTTGCCGAACGAAGGTTTTGCCGAACGGAGATTTTGCCGAATGGACATTTTGCCGAACGGACAGTTTCACGAATGGACAGTTTGCCGAAAATGGAGATATCTTCTGAACTTTAAAGGTTTGCTTACACGGTCAAAGTTTCTGTGATTAAAGTCATTAATTGTCGATTTTGATGACAGGAACTTTGATAGTGAAGTATAGTTTCGTTTTATACATTCTTTCAATTTTTTGACAAGTTTACCGAAAATTCGCAATATAAAATATAACATCATTCAACATCATTAATGAATGTGAATTCCACGAGAGCTGTGAATGTTTTCCATGATTCTCGGAGTAAAATGCGCTTACGTCGTCTTTATATACGCTTGTTTGTTTACAATCTGACGTAAAAACACGTTCCTAACAAATAGGTCATCCGCTGCACAAACAAGCTACCAATAGCCAATATGCAGGTTATGCATTGCTAACAACCATTATGCACTGCTAATGGCCGATTAATGGTTATTTTAAACAATAGTTGAGGATTACACAGTTGAGAAATGAGTCACAGTCCCAAACATTTTGATAAAATAACATCTTTATTTTCGGCAAGTTGTCCTTTCGGCAAACTGTCCGTTCGGCAAAATGTCCGTTCGGCATAATGTCCGTTCGTCAAAATGTCTTTCGGCAAAGTGTCCTTCGGCAAAATGTCCGGGTACCGGTTTCTTTAAGCCAATCTAACTAAGTTTTCAAAGTTTTGTTCATTATCGCTTCGTATGGAGACACCCCAGTTGCTGGGTGTGGTGTTGATCGGAATCCGGTAAGCATTTCTTGAATTGCTATAGTGCTATTTTGACCTTGCAGGTTCGCAATCTTCTCTGTTTTATTCAGGAGCTTCATAAAACTTTCTGCCTCCCCATTTGCTCGTCCTGGCGTAACACGATGGTGATGGAATCCCTCTTCCTCTGCGAATTCAGCGAAATCTTTGGACAGAAATGGTGGACCGTTCTCACTCTCTGGTTGTCGCGATGTCCCGTGAGTTGCAAACATGGTCTTGAGCTTTTCTTTAGTCTGTGGAAAAGAGGTTGAACTTACTCGTGCGACTTCAAAATATTTTGTTCTCTTGTCAATTGCAACCAGATTATAATGTCCATCTAGGTATGGTCTTCCAAAATCCACTGAGATAACATCCCATGATTTTTCCGGAATCACTGTCGGTTTTACCGGTTCTTGTTTGTGCTGCTTTGTGGTACTTGGCATTCGAAACATTGTCCGATGATCTGTTCTACCATGGTGTTCATTGTCGGAAACCAATATTTCTCCCATAGCATCCTTTTAGTCTTCGTTATACCAAGATGTCCAAGATGATGCGCAGCTTTCACGACTTTCCTTTGCAAATTCGTGGGAATAACAATCTGGCTCATTCTGAAGATTAAGTCATCAACAGAATACAATTCAAGTCTTACGCTGTAAAAAGGCATGATGTCAGGATCTCTTCTGTAGTTTTCCCAGTCTCCCTTCCTGATTCGTTCTGATAGCTTTTGAAGTTGACTATCTCGCCGTATTTCTTTTTGGATCTGGTCGATTACAACAGCATGCTCTGCATTACCGACTTGTTTAACGACTTTCTCTACCGTTTCACGTCCCGTCTCTGGTAACGGATGTCTCGATAGGAAGTCGAGTGGATCAGCCTCGTCTTTGCCTTGTTGATGGATCAATTCGAAATCAACATCTTGCATTCCCATCACCCACTTCTCAGTTTTTGGTGGCAGTTTGATGGTCGCTTTGTTGAACAATGGTATTAAAGGCTTATAAGCTGTGATAAGCTCGAATCTTGGTGGTTCAAAGAGGTAGATGCTAAATCTATTCTTTGCCCAATGTACTGATAAGGCGTCCTTTTCTGTCTGGCTATACCGTTTCTCGGTCTCCGTCATTGTCCGACTAATGAAACCTCGACCTCGGTCGGTCTCCTGAAACAGTCCGGCAAAGAGTCCTTCGTGGTAACTAGCTTCCACTCTCACAACAATCGGTTTATCTGGGTTGATGTATACCATGGTTCTTTCACTGGTAATGCTCTCTTTAATTTCCACAAACGCTTGATCTTCTCTCGGTCCCCAGTTAAATTTGACATCTTTGTGGGTTAATTTTCGCAAGGGTGCGGTCAGTGATGAATATCTGGGGATGAATTTGGAAAGATAGCTCGTCATGCCCAGAAAGCTTCGTACAGCTTCTTTAGATTTGGGTGCCTTGCATTCCTTTACCGCTCTGACTTTTTCGAAGCTTGGCTTGAGTCCCTCCTGGGTAAATCGGTGCCCATATAACTCGATTTCACTTACTCCAAATTGACATTTCTCTGGGTTAAATGTCACGCCAAAATCAGCTGCTCTTTGGAGTACAGTTTCTAATGCTTTGTCATGCTCTTCTGCGTTCTTTCCACCAAACAGAATGTCATCTCGTTGATTTAAGCATCTTGGGATGTCACTGAATATGCGGTAAATTGCTTCGTCAAAGAAGTCTTGTGATGCCTTTGCCCCGAAGATTAGTCTCTTTGCTCTCATGTTATCTCACGGAGTGCTAAACGTTGCGATTGTTCTTGATTCTGGGTCTAGTAAGAGCTAATAATAGGCTTGTCTCATGTCTAGTTTGGAAAATATGGTGCAATCGTGGAACTTGTATATGAAATCTTCGACCGTGGTTCCTTGGGTTATTCTGTGTCTTTCCATAAACTGATTAGGTACTCTAAGGTCGACGCTGGCTCTAATCATGTGTGGTTCCAACTGCTCTTTCTCTGTGTTACTGTACCTTGGCTTTGGTTGGACAACTAGTGGAGAACACCACGTCACTGGTTCTCCTTCTGGCACGTCTTCAAATATGTCCTCTTTGATGCATTGATCTAACCAGCTCTTCAGTGGTTTCTGTAAGTAATAGGCTACCGATCTTGGCTTTTGGGCTGCTGGCACTGCGTTCGGTTTCATGGTAAACTTGGTGTAAAAATCCTTGTTATTTTTCACATCTCTAATTTGCCGGATGCCCGTGAATACTTGTTTGTAGCGGCTAGTGATTTCCTTGATATTGGGATTTGGATTGTTCTTTCCTTTCACCGTTTTAATTTCTGGAATTGCATTTGGAATTCCCAAGTCGTTCTTCTCAGCGAATGAACCATCTTCTCGGAACTGCAGCATCGCCAGTTTGATCAATGTTTTCTTGTCAATGAGTAGAGGAGAGTCGATATGACCTGTGACAACGACGAATCTCGCTATAGTTCCACACGTTTTGTTCCTAATTGTTGCTTTGAACTCGCCTTTCACTGTAAGCTTGCTTTGTAGGGTAGATAATTTCATTTGACTGGGTTCTAGTGTTGGTTTGAGTTGGAATCTGTTCTCTAGAGCTTTAAATTGATGTTCATCCATGACGTTTACTTCTGCACCGCTGTCTGGTTCCACTTTAACATCAATATCTTCTATTTTATTGTAACCGTTCTAGTATGATTATCACTCTGTACCATCTTGATTTGTTTCAAATGTTTTACGACTTAACCGAAAAATTCATCGTCCGTCTTTTTCGAGCTGTCCGTCGGTTCTTCAGATGTTTTCTTAACTTGCCACTTCCGTTTAGTATAGTTTCCTCGAGATTTCTGTTGCCGGTGTTCTTGTTGTTGATCTTGTCTTTTCCAATCGCCTTTTCGTGTATCCGATTTACTTGATCGACAAACGGCTGCAAAGTGGTTATATTTTTGGCATTTCTTCAATTTCTTTCCAAATGCTAGACAATCTTTTCCCATCTGGACCCCGGTTCGTCCACAGTTGCTACATGGTTGCTGCTGACGCTGTATGGGTTTCGTGGAAAATGGTGGTCCTCTTTTCTTGGGTCGGCGATACCAGTTGACAAATTTCACTTCTTCGGTGGATTTCATATCTCATATCTGCAGCGATGTGTCTTCCATCTGAATAGCTTCAACCAAAAATTGTGACAGATTCCACTTCTTATTGATTGCTTTTTGAATCAACGCTCGATTTTGACACGTCTGGATTAAATGTTCCAATATTCGTTCGTCCGCGTTGCCTTCGAATTCGCAGTCGTTTCTCTTAGTCGAGTTGCGTATGCTGCTATCGTTTGTCCGTGGTTCAGTCGAAGCTTTAAAAATAAATATCTGGCGTGATGTTTATTCTTTTTCGGCGTGAAATAACTGTTCAGTTTCGTTTTTAATTTCTTGTATTCATCTTGTTGCGTTGCAGGATTCGGTAGGCTTTTCTCCAGTGTAGCTACTTCTTTGCCGCCATAAATAATTAAAGCGTCTTTCTTGTCTGTCGGGTCACTGATTTTAAAATATCGAAATTCTCGCTCGATTCCCTCTAACCAGTCGTCCCACGCTTTCCCTGTTGTGATCCGGTCGTCTTTTGGTGTAAATGGCTTAGTTTTTAAGTTTCTAGTTTCGATAATTACTCGCTTCCCCTTCGTCGATAGACATGGCATTTGTTTGTCGCTTTTATCTGCCGTTTTACCCAACGATTTCGCTATACAATATGAAAGTTCGCTTGCTTTACCATTTGGCTCGACTTTTCATCCTCGTCGCCAATGTTACGACCTCAAAACATATCATACACACAGATCGTGTTTATAGAAGCTTGTATTTTTAACTAACAACAATTTATATATAGAAGTCATTCATGCATACCGAAGGCCTAATTAAGTTGACAACTATGCGCATGCACAATACTATATAATTCTGATATATATTATTCTGGATATATCAAGTGTGAAGAGTAAAAAGCAACTTATATACGTTTAAGCATACTATATAGGTTTTATTGGCAATTTGATAAGGTTTTTGTGCGGTTTTGTTCACTCAAACAACCACAAATTATATACGAAATTACGAATTACCTTGCATGTTTAGTTGTTTTGCCTATCGTTTTATTAAGCTGTTTTTGGCATTTAAATATGCTGGAAGTGCGACCAGGATTGAATATAATGATTTTTGAGACGTTCTCTGGTTGAAATTTTTTTCTTCACGAGCTTTCACGAGATGGATACCCACAGAAGTTCCTGGCAGAAGTGGAAAAGAAACGAGCTTTGAGACAACAAAAAACACCTTCCCTGAAGAACTTGTTCGAGAGTTTTTTTGAAAGAGTTGATCCCACCACGAAAGTTGGTTACGCGGTTTTTCCATACAGCAAAGGCCTAACAGAACCCCTCAAACGCCTCCTCAAGCCTTATAACATCCAAACAACAGCGAAACCTATACACACACTTGAACAAATGCTCCCTTCACCGAAAGACAGACCACCATCCGAAGAACAAACAAATGTGATATATCGAATAAATTGCGCCGATTGTTCGTGGAGCTACATCGGTGAGACGGGTAGAGCGTTTATCACACGGAAAAAGAACATGTGAAGAATGTCGAGAAACAAAAAGCGGGTTCAAATATTGCGAATCATGCCTGGTCTTATGACCATAAAATTGATTTTGACAATGGCAAGATTATCGACAAGGCAAACTACCGCCACAGAGCTACATTGGAATCTTGGCACACCGCACTCACAGCTAACGCAGACAATAATTCCAAACATTTACCGGAACAATACCGTTTTTTATTAAAGAAATAGAAAATTTTTTATCAGAGTATATATAGGCGGAACTATCACTTCCACTTATCTGTTTGTCACTGTAATTTGTTAACCGTAAATTTACAGTGTAGACGTAGCGTAGGCGTATGCTTCGATCTGTAATTGTAAACCGTATAGTCGTCTGTAATCACTGTATTTTATAACTACCCGTTGAAGGCTGCAGTCTGGCAACCGAAAGCTCGTGAATAAAAAAATTTCAACCAGAGAACGTCTTAAAAATCATTATGTTTTTGGCATGTTTCGCAAATATTTCGTTCCTAATATGCCCATACCTATTTGTGAAAAATTATTTAAAATTGTTTAACAGTTTAATCTACAATTTATTTTATTTTTATATGCCAAAAAAAGCCAAGATGGCAATACTATGATTTGTTTATTTTGCTCAATTTGTCAGATGAGATCTTTCTTAACATTGACTGCCTAAGTGAATTCTACACTTTCGGCCTTTAATTGGCTAGCTAAGGTCACAACTTTAATACGTATGGTTTATAAATGGAAGCAAAGCTCAAGATAATGCGATTACAGCTCGAAATAGTGCGATTTGGGCATTGTTTTGGGCACACGTTTGTTATTCAATATCTTATTAATTAGTGTCAGGAAGACATCCCAGAGAACACTTTTAATTTTTTCTAAAGTTCTAGGAACTTTAAACTATGTTAAATACAATGTTTCAGAAAAGTCAGTTCGAATTCTCGCCTTCGGACTTTATCTGTATTTGAAAGTGGCGTGCATTAATAAAGCTCTTCTTTTCAAAATGCACTGGAATTTAAAACCCTTTTAGGTAATCTCCTGTACATCGTTTTGAAATATTATTTTTTACTCCTCTTTGAGGTAAATAATTCATTCATATTCTTCGGGAATTATGCCAACTATGATCATACATGGATAATATACAGTCCTGGAACTGGACCAAAATGTATCCTAGTTCAAAATTAATTCACTGCAACTTTATTTATACCATTGAAAACACGCGTAGGAGTATTTATCGTAACATATAAAATGCAGTGCGCACGACAAACATTTTAGATATGATTAAACACGAAGAAGTGTTTCGAATTACTTCATACACGACTACTATAGATGCGGTCTTTATATGAAGAATAGTGATTAGGATAGACTTTTATGTAAAGATTACCAATGAAGATGAGTTATATTAGGTATAATCCCTTCATGCTACATATTATGGTTGACGTGATTTGCTAATACGCTTACAAATTATTACTGAGTTTTGGAATTACGATTTATGACATGGGATGTCTTTTAAAAATTTAATTCGTATATCGTGCTGCCTTGGTTTGTCTGACCTGTCGTTTAAGGCTGAAACAAATTTACTTAGGAGTTGAATTCTCGTTTTTTCCAGATTATCAAGTTTGAAACATTACTTAATATTTATTTCTCACAAATAAATGCAGGCATAAGACCATTGAAATACTTTTTTACAGCCAATTGTACATCTTACTTAGACTTGCAATGTTCGTTTAAAATTACTGTAAATGCAGCAGAGACCCAGGCACAGCTCCAAGCAGAATAATTACATCAATTCAGCAATCTAACGGCGTCAGGTTTGCATATCAACCACTTCAGTTTAAATTAATTTCTAAAGTTTCGGTCAAACGAAGATAAGAATTAACGAGAGGTGATGAGAGCTTCTACTTTCTCTCTAATGCATTCTCATTAACTTTCTTCAACTTTGATTTGGTAGACCTGTGCATACGGGAATGTTACGAATCATATCAGCAGTTCGATTGTGTGGCGAGAGTGGGAGATCAAAGGATTTTTTATCTGAATTATATTTTTACCGCTAAACGTTGTAAATTATTATAGAATCGCAATTCGCATATATGTTTGCAGTATGTTTTTTGGGGTGGCTGATAGGTCAGACAAATTGAATGACAGCCTTGCTTTGGCGTGGGCATCTTTCCTCAGAAATGTTTCAAATTCACTGTCTCTAACGTTTTGCCGAAAATTTGTCTAAGCCAGCCACACATAAAAGGTGTTTCAAGCTATGGAGCGGGAAACCACGAATCCATTCTTTGCATACAACATATATACTACAATATTATTATATTAGTTTATATGAACTAATCTGAAACTCATTAATAATTCATGAATAAAATATCCAGCTGCATGAACGATTACTACCAGATACGTTGTGTTAATCCAATCCTATAGGCTTGAATCGAAATTGATTAAATTCTTGGTATGCTCAAAACTAATTAATTGTTAGGAAATAAATTTGTATTACAGAAGCTTGTTAAAAATGGTGTTCTTAGTCATTCATGTTTACTTCTCAAGTGGCACATTTATCCAATGAAACCAACACTTTTAGACTATCTACATTTTAACTGACTCGGTTTGCACATTTGTTAACACAGATCCTGCGCGTACGTATTACAGAAAATCAATACCTTCCGTTGTTTTTTGTGTAGGTAAATAAATATAATCAAAATAATTCGGAAGTTATAATTAAGGAACCATTTAAAGCATTCTTCCCCGAAACAGTTCAAATTCCTGCCAAATCGCATTTCCATGATCACTCATTGTATCTAACATTACTGCGTGCGCCATGTTTGTTTGTGATTTGACGGTTGTCAAGTTTTCTTCATCGTTCCCATTATGCGCCACATTTCTCAGATACTTATAAAAGACTGGCTGTGAGACTGGCTTAAGCATATATTTAGTATAGAAGCATTGGATAATTATTATATTAACTGTATCCTAAAAATACGGTATGGCTGAATCTTATACCCACTGCAAGGGCATTTCTCTTCCGCGGGCACCTTTTAGAGTCTGGAATTTGAGTAACATTACCCTTACCTTTAGCCAGTCTGTAGTAGGACGCTGTGAAGGCGGTCCCTGTTCCTGTAGCATCTGATGTAAACTTCACAAAAAGATACTGCCCAGAAGATTTTGCGAACAAACTTTTTGAACAGATTTTTCCAATCCTTGATGATAATTCGGAGTAACCATCGAACACCTCGATTGAGTCACAATTGCATCCGGTACAGACCTCCATGTTGAGCGTATTAATATTGAGTTTAACCGCATAATTTGTTGGAACGTAGATACGCCAACAGTACACGGCGTTGTTTGGGTAATTGCCAGGGTATCCCGGTCCTCTTATAGTCCCACTGCTACTTCGGAGATTTGTAGTCGACTGACAAGTCGCTATAAAAAACAAAATATCTTCCTTACTTTACTTCTGGAATAACGTGAAAATTACCCACGAAAAGTGGGTTATACTTTACTTGCAATGTAATTGTTCTAAATTGTGCGACCAATAACCAGCAGCCACACATTCAGGTTGGAGATTTTGCTTTTTGAAAATGCTATCTTTGTATAAGCTTCAGAATACGACAGGAAATAGAATCCTAGATCGATGCCCTTTCCTCGGCTTAGTTGCCAAGTTTAGTCAGTGTTGGGCTAGAATTTGGTAACTGCTTGCTTTCGTTTCACATTTGACATTATAGTTACCAAAATTTTAGCTCAAACTTAACCAAAATTACCAAAGCGAGTCGTATAATGGACATTGGTCTAGGCTGAGTACATTCCATGGAATAAATATAGGCGAAAAGCAGTTCTTCTCTAAGGTAATATACTGTAAAAAAGCAAAGTTCTTTCTTCCAAACTCAGCATTCTTCCATGTCTGGAATGATCTGCAAACTTTTTCCGTACAATCCACCCAGCAAATTTTATTTTTTTTCTAAAATCTTTGAATACTGTTCTCTCGTTTTGTCATGCTTAGCGATTTCTTCGCTGTGATATAATTTTTAACCATTTAATATATTGTTTTGAGCTCTCTGAAAATATTTGTCTTACGAATTTTTATTGTTTTTTTTCTTCTTCAATATGGCTTTGAAACTCTTCGCAACATTGGCTATTATTATTTTTTTCACACGGCAACTTTGCATGGTGTTTCTAGGCAAACGACTAAACACATTTATAATATAATCATTCACCGTATATGAGCTGCTCTGCAATCTGATTGGTTGAATTACTCACCCTATATCAGCTCATATACGGCGAGTAGCGAAAAACATCGATGGCGGTCCAAAACTACATGAGTTTTGCGAAGCAGAAAAAAGGAAAATATTCGCTTTGAGAAAAATAATAGTACTAGAAAAACTCTCAAAAAATTCGAAAGGTTAGCAAAATACATTTATTACATAGAAATTAGCTTAATTAAATACAAGTTTTTTAAAGAATTAATACCGAAACAACAGCGAATAAAACATGTTCATTGAGAATATAAATTGTTCAGAAAAGTTTGCAACGAAAGACAAATTAATTTGCCGTCAACAAGCACTTACTATACTACCAAACATCTGTAGAATATATCTGAGCTTTTCTGCAAGATACATCGATTCTAAAACTATTTCTTTCACTTCGTCTTCGAGTTGTAAAACAAACGTATTTAAAATTTTCAAGGCCAAGCGGTTTTTTGCCGAACAGATTGTCAAATGTCAAGACATTGTAACAGAGGATAATCATTATTGCTTCTGTTAATGGCTATTAAACTATATTATAAAACAATTATACCATTCGCTCTCGTCGTATGTGGCTGATAGCCGACTCGTTGCTACGCACCTCGTTGGCTATCAGCTCATATACGACTCAAGCTCATGGTATAATTGTTAATTATATATAACAATATATAGATTGAAGTTAATGGGACAAGAAGTTCATCATCTTCAAACGTGATTATAAACCCATGCATAATGACGAGATAGGCTTGACGCGAACATGGAGCCACAAAAAGGCGATAGATATCCAAGCTATAGTCCAAAGTTCAGCACGTGCAAATCGAATGAAACGCTAACTTACCAATCATGTATCAACAACGAATACGCTGAGCAAAGGTCAATGCGATAAGCATAGGCGTCGAAAGATCGATATGTGGGGGGGGGGGGGACATTCATATATTCGTGTTTCGCATTATTAATTACCTCGGGTCGGTACGACACTGAGGTCATAAATTCGGTTCCTATTTTTTTTTCATTTTGTGTCAAGCCGCGCGCGTAGTCGAAGAGCCTGCGGAGGAGACGACAACTTCCGGTAAATAAGTGCACATCCGGAAAATTTGAAGCATCGGCCAAAGCGAAGCGGAACCCGAAGCTGTCCATGCACAAAATAAAAACCAGAAGATGTGATAATTTTGACATACATGTTTAGCTGGATAACTATTCTCGAGTATATGTTGATATAATGTACAATACTTCGCATGCATAGCATGGGAATACCGCGGCCAACTTTCACTTGTTTGATACTGTTAAGCATTTGATGGATGGTTCTTACAACAATTTTACAAACTGTTCACTCATTACATTCTTTGACTATGGTACAACTATTACTAATGATGGAGCAGTTATATGCACCTAATTATATTTTCGGTACTTTGATATAAATTATTTTTAAAATATATTTTCGTTCTGCTATGTGCAATCAACAAATAGACTGATAATATTGTCTGTTAGTGTTACTAAACACAAGATGGAGTAATGAAGTAGCTATGTATATCATTCTCTCGTCCACAAAATATTCCAAATATTGAATAAATACAGTTAAATAATTGCGTTAGTAAATTCTCTAAATTGTTCCTGTGTTTAACTATTATTAATAAAATGTTAAAACGGAGCTTTGATTGACTGATTCACCATTTTTTATATACTAGTGAACTATTAAACTATTGTGATTTACATGATTTTTGCATATTTACCAGACGATGCCCTACCCACCGACCCGAGGTTAACGCCGAGTGGGCGTCTTGCTTCTTTTGAAATCGATTGTTTTTAAAGTGCATATGACATGAATTTTTTTATTTTCTTAAATGAAAGAACGCTTTAAGCTGTAGTGTAACTTATTTTTCAGTTTCTTGTTTTCATGGTTTGTTCCAGAGATATTTCAGTTTCTTTGGTATGTAAATGAGTGTGAATATGTTCTCTAATTTATGACGTCACGTTGGTTGCAAGCTCAACTTACACTGGTTATCAATTTATTAACTCTAAAAACTGTAAATATCGGTTCAGGTTTTTCTCCAGTATTTCACCACATTTATCAGTGAGTGAAGTTAGAAATTATTATATTGGATGATAGCCGTGATCGATATTCAACCATTTTGAAGAGCTTGCATCCAACGTGACGTCATAAATTAGCGGACATATTCACACTCATTTACGTACCAAACAAATCGAAATATCTCGGGAACAAACCATATAAACAAGAAACTGAAAAATAAATTGCAATACAGCTTAGAGTTCTTTCATTTAAGAAAATAAAAAAAAATATGTCATATGCACTTTAAGGTCTGTGAACACGAATGTATGAATATGACTTCGCCCACTTATTATCGATCTTTCGACGCCTATGCGATAAGGGCTCTCGCTTTGACAAATATCGAAACAATGTTGGAATAATCGTTTGTTACCGAGAAAAAAATTCCATCTACTGTACCCGTTCTTATTCTTATTTGTGCCAATGACTGGTTTGGTGCGCTGTATGCGTACTAACTAATGTTAGGCGAGGGTTATCCAAGAGAAGTTATTCACGAAAGACTGTCGGACAATTTCTCATTGATTATTACTACTATGTACATACATAAATTGGCTCATGTTGAAACGAACACATTTTAATCAGCCAATTGTGGAATGCGCAAAGCATCATGGTAGTTTAGTTACACAACATAATTTTTCAAGATGGCGCTTATACTTTTCAAACGAGGGAAAGTGCTAAACACGTGAGAATTGCAAGAAAACTTTTATCATTTTCGCTTTGATTAAAATTTTTGACTAAATCTGTACGGCTTGTTTCATATTTCTACTACGGTTTGAGCTTCAACGAGTGAGTGCGGTTGAAGTATTCAACATAGCGTACAAAGTCACTGAAGCGGGGAAGGAGTTCGATTAGTAGTAGTCGTAAACAATTTTATGAATAATAATGTTTCACGACATGAAGATGAGAACTACATTAAATTATTTTCGAAGTAAGGAACATGTTGTAACTTATTGTTTGCCTAAACGTTTTAACGAACTGTTTAATTCTAGCGACTCGAGAGACAAAAATGTTTGCACACTTGGCCGTCCCAAAACAACAGATGTTTGATCAAACTTTCGTTTTATAAACCAAAACATTGAGGTTGTATAGCGCGTAAGATAGAAACAGTTGCTGTTTGAAATACTGATCTTTCACATTTCAAAATTTTTCAAAGATTTAAAAAGTACTTTTAAGTACTATTCACTGCCGTTCAAGTGTCGTATTGGAGTTTTTAACTACAACATATTTATGCGAGTCAAATTTAAAGCAACCTGACTTGTTTCGAGTATATTTTGGAACGGTTCCAGCTGTTTGGTTTGCAGATTGTTTGGATAAATATGGCAAGTGACACGGAAACGTGACTAAAGATAAAATGTACAGGGGAACGACCCCTTGTAAGCGAGAGTGTTAAAAATCCGGAATTATCCTTCCATAAATTTTCTATGGATTCGAGCTTAAAGGAAAAATGACTGAATTTATTGAGAATACAAAGTGAACCTTTTATGAAACGCCACAAAATATTTTTCTTATACTTTTCCGGTGGAAAGAAATCTTTTAGTGCATTGCCAAATGTCGTTAAAACATCGTGTAGACAAATTGTAAAGAGTACCCAAGGCAGGGAACATATAGATAACTGCAGTGAGGCTATTACTGAAAGAAACCAGTTCTCAACAACAAACGACTGGCATTGATGCACAAGAGTCAACCAATGAAAAATTAAAAACTGAACATGCAGTTAACAAACAAAATATTATGCATTATCATGCATCTAAATACGAATATACTTGCCAGTAATACACATTTTAAATTCTATACAGGTCTATATACAGCTCCTCAAAATTTATATGCAACATTTAAAATTTCTTCGACTTTCTGCGACCAGCATGTAATTTCTTAACTTATGCCGGTTTGACCGTTTGGGTACCAATGTAGAATACTCAGTAGAAAAAAAAAGCTGGGGCGAAAAAGGTCAATGTCGTGATCTGATGGAGGTTGACATTGCTCACCGATTTGGCATTTCAGAAGCACATGTTTCCCGTATGTGGGCTACTTGGTTAGAGTTTCTCTATCATGAGTCAGGAGCCCTGGGCATCACGTCATTATATACAACGAACAATGCCGCTGTTGCCACAGTCTTTCAAAAAAAAATCTACCCGAATAGCAATGTAATTATTGATTGTACAGAACAACAAATTGAAATGCCATGTTCATAATTTAGAAGTCAGTCTGCATTTTTGAAAATGGGCACTTCACCTCACCTGTTCCCTATGATGTTGGCTCGGCATAAAATTTTATATAACAAGCAGTCTGGATTGCACCAAACCATGGGTCTTCTGTGTTAACAAATAAGTCCCCTGACTGAACACATGAATACAGTCATAACACATGCAGTCATTAACAGAAGGAAATTTCTTTTTTTATTTTCTCTTTATTTTATTGCTATCCGGAAATGTGAGGCAGTTAGACGACCTCGTCGTTGAAGCAAAGTTGCTTTAAATATATTGACTTGCATCAATATATTGTAGTTAAAAACTCCAATAAGACACTTGAACAACAGTGTATAGTACTTAAAATTACTTTTTAAAGCTTCGAAAACCTTTGAAATGTGAAAAATCAGTATTTCAAACCGCAACTGTTTTTCTTTTATGCGCCAAACAACATTAATGTTTGGTTTGTAAAACGAAAGTGTGATCGAACATTTGTTGTTTTGGGACGGTCAAGTGTGCAAACATTTTGGTCTCTTGAGTCGCTAGAATTAAACCGATCGTTAACATTTTTAGGCAAACAATAAGTTACAAGTTACAACGTGTTCCTTACCTCAATAATAATTTAATGCAGTACTAACCTTCATGGGCGTACCGGAAGGAAAAATTTAGGGGGGCGGAAAGAAATTTGCCCGACTTGTCCGGATTTCGCCCGACAAGTACCGAAAAGTTTTTTTTCGGATTTATTTTGGCGACCTCCCCCCCCGTCCCCAAAAAAATTTCGGTCAGTGTACCATTTTAGGGGTCAAAAAAATTTTTCGGACATACCAAAAATTTTCGGAACCTGACAAAAATTTTCGAAACATCACAAAATTGACCACAAAATTTACAGAATTTGTCCCATTTTTTTTTGTAATAAACCAAGATTGCCCGACTGTTCAGCGAATACTGCCCGACTGCCCAACAAACTGGGGAGGGGGCTGCTGCCCCCCCCCCGCCCGGTACGCCCATGCTAACCTTTATGTTGTGAAATATTCAAAATGTGTTTACGACTACTACGAATCGAACTCCTTCCCCGCTTCAGTGACTTTGTACGCCATGTTGAATACTTCAACCGCAATCACTCGTAGAAGCTCAAACCGTAGTAGAAATATGAAACAAGCCGTCCAGATTTAGTCAAAACTTTAATCAAAGCGAAAATAATAAACGTTTTGTTGCAATTTTCATATGTTTAGCCTCTTCCTTCGTTCGAAAAGTATATGCGCATTCTCCAATTGGCACATTGGTTCGCGCTTCAAGTGATCCCAACGGTCAAGTGATCAACTTCAGGCCCAGAGACTCGGGTTATTATTTCATGTAAATATAATCAGAATATGATGTTTGTGATGTTACTCTGAGTGTATATCCACACCCGGAAAGCTTTAAAAATATGCCTGGCCACGGTGGGAATCGAACCTACGACCTTTGGAATACTAGCCCATGCAGTGCTCTGCCAACTGAGCTACCGGTTCAGGTCAGGTCGGTTCGAGTCGAAATGTCACATACTCGAACCAACATGACCGGATCGATCAGTTTTCAGAGCAATTGAGGTTGTATTCCAAAGGTCGTCTGTTTGATTCCCACCGTGGCCAGGCATAATTTTCAAGCTTGCTCGGTGAGGATATACACTCAAAGTAACATCACAAACATCATATTCACCTGAGTACATAACACCAACACAGAAAAAATCATGATTACTAGACTGCATTGATATCGAAAGAATCTCGAAAAATTCGCCTCCGTTTAAGTAGTAGTGCCCGACGACGTCACAGCACTTTAGTATATTTTATTAATTATATATGTAAACTACACAAGGTAGGCCTATATCTCGCTAGCGCTCGGGTTTTATCACATTTACTTCGACATTTTTTCAGTTGCCACGAGGCTGTGACGTCACATTAATCATTTCTAATATTTCTATAGTATCCAGTCCCTAACACTCCCACATGTACATCCTCAAAGAGGTGTACATGCTAGTGCGAACACAGTTCAAGACTGTTTCTTTAGACGTTTAGAGTATATGAGTATATATTGATTATATTATATTAACGTGATTATGTCTTAAATTAACAAAACCTGAACTCAATGTAAACCTAGTTTACGTTATCATGAAGTAATAACAGCTCAGGACTTGAGTTAATCGTTTTCGTCTTCTGCTGCCATGTATCGTATTTCCACGACCCCTTCGGCGGTTCTCTTGCTTCTTGGCTGGAAATCAACAATGGCTGGATTCAACGAGGATTCCGGTTGAGCTCAACCTCGTACCTAGGCTCTTTTCACTACGCGCCTCGCTGGAGGAAAGACACTGGTCCAGGCTGGTCACGTGTCTCCCAGATTTTGGGAGATAACAAAATTTTACATAAGGATGGGGGGCTAAGTTAGTTTTACCGATCTAGTTGCTGATATCAATTCGATAAAATTCAGAGTGTGTGTATGATAGCAAGAGCTTGTGCTGCAAAATCAATGGGTGAGATGTCTTTGTATTTGTATTCTTTGTGGATTGCATCTGCGACGTCGCTACGCAAGATGTACATACTGGAGTCTTTCAGTTTCATATTGGGAAAACCGCAAAGAAGTACTAGGAAAGGATTTGTAATATACTCAAAGACAAGCAAAGAACATTTGCCTAGTACTTAGAAGCCAACAACGAGTTTATTGTAAATGCCGTAAATTGTAATCATAAGTGAAACGGCTCGATACCACGACACATGCATATAGAAATAACAGTAAGAAAATATATTATATAGTGTGCACATAAGTATCGATAGTATGTCTATTTCCCCATGTTTCAATAAGACAGTACTCAGGGGATTATATAATAGTATTACAAAATGTATTTTAAATCTTCATGCACACATGTTTTTAATAGGGAGTCTCAGCTTGGCGTTCATACGTTAGAAGACAAACGGCAGGCAAAGGAAAACATAAGCTACATAAGGCAATAGAGAGTAAATAAACTTGCTATTTTAAAACTGTATGTTTAAAACTGTAAAGAAAATATGAAGCGAAGAAGTTTAAGCGCAATGCTGCAAATTTGACTCAGCCGTTTGACTTCTCATTTAAACAAACATCCAGACCAGGTGTTTGTCAGATAAATCCCATTAATTTAAATTTGACTGCGCGCAATAAGGTACAAACTTTAGAAATATATTGTACCTTACTTGTATGCCTTATCTGTCGGAACATGCTAAAAGTTTTAAAGGAAAGTCTAAAACAGAATACAAAGTTTTCAACCAGCTCTAAAGCAAGCTAGAGCACAGGCAGTATACAATTTTATGTAAACGTTGATCATATTTTTCACTGGGGAGACATGCAATTGATTGTAAATAAATACGCATTACGCTCCTATAAATACCCAAAATATAGCATTTATTAGAGATAATATCGAGCTAAAAAGTCTGTATATTAATGTACTTATTTATTCTTCATTGAAGATGTTCAATTCAACAAAATTGGCAAATCGACCACATGGTACTTTACGGGAACAGCGGTTATTTTATAATCGCTCACAAATATCAATTAATAGCCCATCATGATTCTGGTTAAACAAATGTTCTACTGAATACAACACTCAATAGCAATTTTCTGAGGATTCTGCCTTTTCTTGTTGATATGTAGAACTAAACCCGAGACTGTGTTTTTGAGTGAGCTTAGAGAAGAACATCTATCGTCTAAGTTGACGGTTTTGAGTTTAATTTCAAACGTCCAGTCTGACCAGGCAGGCCTTATTAACAACTTTGTCCCTTACAATAGCCGTTATGACGTATTTTATGAAAAATACATGCCAATAAAACTTTGTTTCAAGGTACTCCTTTGTGTTGCTTTATTCGCACTCATTGTATTGTTTTGAAATCGAACGCTACATTTGCCTTCCCTTCTCCCCATAAGTCCCAATTGTTATCTTCCAAAATCTGGGAGACACGTGACCAGCCTGCACCAGGGTCTTTCCTCCAGCGAGGCGCGTAGTGGAAAGAGCCTGAGTACGAGGTTGGGTTGAGCTTTGTTACACGCTAGTTCTGACGGATACAAATGCTGTATTGGTCTTCCCAATTGTCCCTTCGACTTCCTGAGTCTAACTGCTCTAACACTGCCGTCTCTTTCTTTGATAAGTTCCGGTACAATCGCGAGCCTCCATTTTTTCCGATTCTTTTCATCCCCGTCATGGACAATCACCGCATTTCCAACTAGTGGATATTGCTCTTTTTTGACGACTTTTTTTCAATTTGTTTTTTCGTAAAAAACGAAGGCACTTTTTCCTGCAACGACTCCACATGAATTCTTTGCTCTTTTCCGTAATTCTTCGTCGTCAACATGGTGGGTTTTCAAATCAAGCGAATAACTCGGGTTCATATGCAAGATGGGTCAAGTGTTAACAATGATGGTAGCTCAACGTCGTTTCCAATATAACTTAAAGGGCGGACATTCAGCGCAATCTGGATGTCGAGTACAACTTCCTCTAGCTCTCCGAACGTCAGTGTGCCGTTGCCGATGGTCTTATGAAACGAGCGTTTGAAAAGTCCGATCAGACGCTCAAACTGTCCGCCCCACCAGCTGCACGACCTAAATTAAATCTCCATTCTATACGGAATTCACTCAATATTCCATTTAAACTTTCGTCACGTTGTACCTGTTTTAACCATTTGTCGGTCGCTTTGAATGTTGATCCATTGTCCGAATAGATCAACTTTGGTTTTCCACGTCGTGCAATAACTCTCTTCAGGCACGTGATGAATTCCACAGTTTCCAACGATCTCAACAGTTCCAAGTGTACCGATCTACACAAACTACATGCAAATAATGCCAAATATGTTTTTTTCTCATACTTTCCTTTCTGGTAACGTATTGGTCCCGCGAACTCGACTCCTACAATTTCGAATGCCGTTGATCCTCGAGTTCTTGTCTTTGGCAAGAGTCCTGGTGGTGGTGCTTCAAACGCCTTGACTTGAAACGTTTTCATCTCCAACACCTATATTTCTCACTTGTTTTACTACCTGTTGAAGTCTAGGTATATCCAATAGCGTTCTCTAACTTTCGCAATTGTCATTGTTACTCCACTATGGAGCGTGATTAAGTGGGCTTGTTCGACTACTCTCCGAGTAAAGGTGCTGATACGGGGTAGTAATAATGGATAGTTACATTCAATTCTTCCTTTACACTGTACGTGTTCTCTTCAATTCTTACTCTAGCTGATGTATCCCATCGTTGTTTGCTTGGAGATTTAACCGGATTTTCTCTGCTTCTGTTATTTGCTTATTCTGTTCAACTCGTCTCGTCTACCATTTGCGCTGCTCATCAGTTTCTCGGGTTCCATGGCGGTTTTAACAATTTAGGGAAAATCGATGTATCCACGCGCCGATCCTAAGTACTTTACGTAAAGGGTACGCTTCAATTAACTATATAGTCAAACTTGTCACGATTCCGACAGTGAGTTGTAAAGGTTGGAGCATGAATACGCTTCTCTTAATTGCTCTTTTACTTCCGAACTTGACTCTGGTACAACATCTAGGGGCCACTCGCTACAACTCGTTCTTCGAAACAACTCTGCCTGGACTCCCCAGATCTGCCGTGTTCTCTATCGTAAGCACATAGTGCCATTTTGCCCGTTTGTGTTCCTTGATCGTTTTAACTGAATTCGCGACGAACTGTCGATATTCGCCTTGACCGCCAATCCAATACAGCGCAACTGTCGAGTCTAGCCAGCAGTGTACAGACAAAACTTTTTCAGCACCGGTCGCTGTTTCGACATTGGACACAAGGTTTACCGCCATGTGTCTACCCACAAGCTATTGCCGAGATATGGTAAGGTTTTTCGTCGCTAGACGAGACCGCGAACAAATCAATCCTTGGGTTGTAGCTTATAGCCATGCGCGCGCGATCATTGATTAATTTTAGACTTCGCTAATGCTTTCCTTTCCCCGTGTTTAAATACCTAAGCGGAAATAGTACCCTCGCGACGGGCTTCTCCCTACGCGCTCCGCGTGTGACTTGGGGATAACTACAACACCAAAACTTACATTTGCCACTGGTTGTGCCGTTGTCGCTGCCGTTGTTGTTAGAACCAATACCTGTTAATATCAAACACAAACAAAATTCATTAAAAAGGTAATGAAATGAAATATTATTCTCAAACTCATCAATAATTAACATTAGTTTAAACCTACTAGTGAGCTATCATGTATCGTGCGTTCTGATTGGCTAAGCTACTAGTAAGCTATTAGTGCACGATAGCCTATTAGTAGCAACAAACGGCAAAGGGCACGAGAGTCAATGACCGTTTTTGAGTGTTAAAAGCTGCATTTAAAGGAAGAAAGATTATCAAAATGGCCTAATTTTGGTTCTGGATTACACACGAACTGACGAACAAAGACTCTTGAAAACTGCGAATTTTCGTTTCTCGTAGTTTTGAACATGAAAGTGACAGGCGATTTTTTAAATATATTGACAATGTTTGTTAGTGAATATTCCTTGTAGTTTAGTTGAATTTCAACAATAGTTTGTAGCTTGTGCTTGTTTTAAGTACGAGTTAATGTATTTACTATAGCTATCTCATTTTAAAGAGTTTTGTTAGTTTATTAGAATGTCAAGTATGTTTTGCGCCATTTTTGAGTCTTTTTAATGTAAACTTTTGTCTATCTGTATTAGATGATGGAATGGTTTGCCTCTTTATTTCCAGATATTTTAAAGATTTTAATAACATTCGAATTATTTTGCGCGCATTTTTATTCGGTTTTTAGCTAAAACTTTATTTACTAATAATTCCGGAAGCCATTTTGTGTTTGAATTTTTTTTACTTTTAAACCTTGTTTTGATCCTTTTTTTAATTAGGCAACGATTATTGATATAACGGCCCCTCACTGTTATACTGTTTTGCGACATGTTTTTTAACTTCTACTTAAACTCACAAGTCGTATATAAATCTTTCAAATCATTCTCGGGAGTTAAAGGGCGAGGCGAAATTTCGCCAAAGAAGCTATTTAAGAGCTCATTTCGTTGAAAAGTTTTACATAAAAGTCAATTTAAAAATTCAGTTTTTCTTATGTGGTATATATTAAAACAATTAGACAACTCAGCCTCCAAGCTCGTACCCAGGGCCTTTGCGCGGTTCAGAGGCTCTGGTACGGGAAGCAAAGGCCCTGGTAAACACTGGTCACGTGTGTCCAAAAATATTGGACATTTCGTAATAATTTAGTTTTCAATCCGGGGGGAGCGGAGCCGATTGATTTTGTCAAACATGGCAGCGCGAAGGCGCGACGTTTTCGAGTTTTATTATTTTACGATAAATAAAACTTTCCTAGTGAGATTTAAAGTGGGTATATATTAAAACTATGCATTCTACGAGCTTTCTTTCAACAAATTGTGGAATAGCGAACGGTAATACTTATCAAAGATCGAGGATCAAACTGAGAGAAAACTAGTCGAGTGTCTGTCTTTTATTAAATAAACTGTCTATTTTGTATCCATGCAGCTGCTTGTGTGCGACGTTTTATAAAGAATTAAATAAACATTGTTGATTAATAATGATTATAAGTAATTTTTACGTATTGACCAAAGAATATCACTTGGGATTTTATTGTACTTTCATGGAAGGATACATATATACTCAAGTAAATATGTGCCTGTATAGTGAAAGGGACATATATGGAAACGAAATTCTTCATGTGTAAACATGTAGTTATCAAAGCAGAATATTTTGACAGTGACAGGTTGGTTTCCGTATGTATGTAGTTTAAAATACAGTTGTGAATGAAATTATACACAGTATCTTGAAACCTTTGTGTGTGAGTTAATTTCATATTTATATTTGGGATGTTTATTTCTCATTGTCTGGAAGAAGGGGATAAAGGCGGGGGTACCAATTATGAGAAATAATATCCAATGATCTTGAAGTCCTGAAGGACATGTATAAAGTAACAAATTTATTAGGAATCTGATATATAAATGTAAGCAAAAACCAGACTTAGGAGTCTAAAGGCAAATAACAGTCTGTACTGGGTGTGCGTTGACCTATATGTTTACATTTGCAGTTACATTGGTTCATGATTTATGAAATTTGATAATTTTAGTCATGGCAACAAGTCACTAATAATTTTAGGGTAAATATTTTTCTGAAATACTTCATTTGACAGTTGTGTCTTATAGTATATAATAAATATTTTGGAAAAAAGGTATAATTGTACCCTGTCTAATAGCTCTGGTTCAATACAATTGGCAACATCAGCACCTGCACGGGCTGTCTTAGAATTCATGAAAGACCTTTGCTTTCTTTGGGGTTGTAACCCCAAGAAAACATGCCTTGTATCAGGAGATTAAATTCTCTGCTTCAAGCAGATTAACCACACAAATGTTATTGTTACCATTGTGACTGCTACCCTTTTTACAAATAATACACCGATAGTCGAGCACCAAGATTGACATATCATACTGTGTTTTCAAATATCTTTTGCTTATAATTTCCATAATGATGGTCAATTATTCCACTTATACTGAGAATACTATAATTACTTCTTTCCCATAAGAATTATTATAGGTTTAATTGAAGTATTATTATTCACAGCTGGTCTGGAAAATTAGGACTAATATTGGGTGTTTTGATGCATCATACTTTTATCAGAAATGTCACTCTGTAATTTGTGTCAGTAATTTCTTATCACTAATGGCAATTAAAAACCTATTCAGTCCTATCTACTATGCAGAGTTGATTTGTATTGAGGAGGTAGTAGGGCGTAACAGAGAGACACAGAGGCTTGATAAATATGGTTACACTGAATTTTATCAGTAAGTAAATTTCATTCTTTACATCCCAAAACAAAAGATCACCATATTATGCATGAATTATATGTCACTTTCACTTGTCACAGAGTGAACATACCAAATTAAATTCAAACAAACATTCACTGGCTGTTTCTAGATGAAATAATCAACAGATTTTTTGTGCAAACAATATAATTCATGAGGGGAAAAATTAAATATTTATATGTGTGCACATTGCACATAGTTTCAAGACCAGCTAGCGGGGTTGAAACCAACTTTCCCAGTTATGATTGGAGTTGATGAGAACATAACCTTAGTTTTGAACACAAAATGGCATGGGACTTCATCTAGGTGGCAATATATTGGCATTCACTCAGACCATGGCAATATCACACAGTATACAAGAATGCACCCATGCAGGTTCTGCCTTCTCACCAGCACAATTGATCAAGTCATACACAATTCATTATTGCCAATCTCTTTATTATTTATGTCTCATTACAATTGGTATGTACAGTTTATTTTCATTATCAGCAGTATCATTACAATTTGTGCATCACCACAACTTGTATTTCACTAGCATCATCATCATTATTCTCACCATTCTAATTTTATTTATAGTCAATCACAATTAATCAAAAATTTCCTATCACACCACTCATATTACTTAATTGCCCAAGGTTAAGGCCATTTCACAGCACTCCAGGATCTGAACACCTGCAACCACTATTTCGATCTAATACTAAAACAGAAACAAACGACAAATGTTTTACTGGAATTTCATTGCCATAAAATAACTGTCATTTGAAACCGCATTCTGCTGTATTAGTAACAGCAAAACTGCCCAAGGTCGCAACTAAGATAAATAATAGGGATGTAGTAAGTTAATACCAATTACTGGTAATTGTCTTTTTACATTTTGCTAAGAACCAAAGTCCAATTATACGGAGCAAGTATAGAATATCCAGCCTCTTTTTATTATTCACTTAACTTTACCCTTGACAAGTAAAATTGTCTGGTGTTGGACAGAAAAAAATAACAAAGTATGCCATATTTGATTATCCCATTCGGTGTGCAAGACTCTCCTTTGGATGGGCAAAATACTAAAATTGGGCGCTAAGGAGATTTTATGGCAACAGGTGGGGGGACATTTTCTCCAGCAGAATGTATGTTGGCCAGTGCAATTTTTTAAATTAAACATCAAAATCATAAACCAGAGTATTGAGGCGATCAAGAAAAGAGTACCTGACTGTAAAATTAATGTAATCTAATTTTCTTGTCACATACGGAATGTTAGGTACCGGGTAAGGTTGGCATTTTCACACTTTTCTATTATCAGCATACTATTCTGTTAAGTTTTTATTGGATGAGTCAGAGACCAATGGTTGGAATGAGGGCAGTTATTTTGTAATTCTTGCAAGTATTCATTTATTAACTTTTGACTACTGTAATAGTCAGCCAGTTAAATAAGTATTTTACTGAGGGTACAGCTTGAAGATTTTACATGTAAAAGAGAACTCCAGTTATGAAGGACTGAATATTTTCTGAGCAAGCTTGAACAGAAGATTTTGATTTTAGTGAACTAAGTGAAGGATGGAGATAACCAAAAACTATATCAGGCATGAAGGAGGGTTTGTATCCAAAAGCGAAAGATGGAGAAATAATTAGACGAAGAAAATCAATTATACAAACAGAAAGCCACGAATCTGCTGGAATTTAGGATATATAAACTGATAAATATATGAGAATAAAATCGTACCTCGAATATACTGTATTCGATCATTATAGCATTCAGAATCCATGTGGTTTCAAAGTTTATAATTTCCATCAAAATAAAAAGAAGCTTAAAATCTGCTGCCTGTTGTCTTAACACATGAATTTTAAAACACTTGTTATACATTCATATTTTAAAAATCAAAGGCAAAATATGTATTTTTAAAATTTAGTTCGCCCATTTCAATGTTCAGTTGTTCACCCCCTCCCCCGAAATGACATGACTTTATTAAGGCCAGGTTACAAAAATGTCAAATATTTTTGGACACACGTGACCAGTGTTTACCAGGGCTTTTGCTTCCCGTACAAGAACCTCTGAACCGCGCAAAGGCCCTGGGTACGAGGTTGCATAGACCCCAAGTGCCTTTGTTTCTTATACCCTTTTAATTGGTATGTCGCCGACATACACTTTGGGAGCGAGAGATAAGTTATTGATATTATGCCTATATCCTATTAACAAGTGATCAGTTTTGACAAGTTTTAGAGATAATTTATTTTCAGAGAGCCATTGTTTAATAACATTTGCAAGGTCATGATTGATGGCCACTTCTGCATCCGAAATTGTTTCGCCTGAGGCAGTTAATGTTGTATCGTCAGAAAACATTCTTGCCGACGAATACTCCAAACTGTCAGGTAAATCGTTTATTTAGATTAACGGAACCTTGAGAAATTCCACACCTAACTATCTTTGTACCGGATAATACACCGTTAACTGAGCACATTTGCGTTCTGTTAGTTAAATAACTTTTTAGTAGATTCAAGGCTGGTAATTCCATGACATACAAATCAAGTTTCTTAAGTAAAATATTGTGGTTTATAGTATCAAAAGCTTTTGTAAGTCAAGAAATACTGCGATGTTAATTTTACCACGGTCCATATTAACAAACCATTCATTTGTGCTGTCTAAAAGGGCAAATGCTACGGAATGAAACTGTCTAAAGCCAAATTGACGATCAGATAGCAAATTATTCGAAACAAAATAATCATATAAATAGAGAATAATACATGGGTGCGCGGAAATACCAGATTTATTTCGAGTGTTTCTGTTTATTATATAAAGGACAGTCTTTGAAAAGCGATAATTTTTACAGAAAAGCGATAAATGAAAAGCGATAATTTTCACATGTGAGATTATCAGAATAATCTCACATGTGAGATTATCACTTTTATCAGTGCTCGAAGTACTATTTAAAAAACGAGCAGGAGTGTTTTATTAGGTTTAAAGCGCGCGAGTGGCTTTAGATCTAATCAGGGCGTAGTAAAACACGGGCGAGGAAACGCGCGGTAATCGCGCTGATCTATGTGTGATGCGGCTGGAGACTGGCGAAAGCGCGCGTTTTGCGAGAAATACAAAAAGAACGGCACAAAAATGGCAACAAAAAGATTTGCCGAAGACTACGAAATAACAAACGAAAATATAGGTAAGTTTTAAATTATTACATAATTATTTAACGTAATTTGAAAGAAACACTATTATACTTCAGCTTTACTTAATTGAAATAAACAAAAAGCGCATTGCGTTGTAAAATGTCAATGTTTTAAGAAATGTTTTGATTTTTATTCCCTTCAAAATTTGTTATTTTTGCGCACAAAGTCAGGTTTTAATACGAGTTTTTTAACGCTCTAGGTAGTCCTAGGTGAATTTGATAGCACAAAAAGTTTCCCAAATTAACATACTTGAGAATAATTAAAATTAAGAGTCGAACTTTTTTGGACTTTTTTTGCTATAACTTTTTTCCCTGAACATAGTGCTGTTCATCATTTGTATCACAAGGAGAAGCAACGCAAGTTAACACGAAAGTTTTTAAAATATCAAGCGGAACATTTTAAATATTGTTCAATCTAATTATATTGCCACAATATTTGTTTTAGATACAAATAACATTCCCCAAGCCGTCAAAGACATAATTAGTTCAAAAACAATTAGTTTCAAAAACAATATATAGATTATGTCAGCTCGATAAAGTACAGCGTATACGGCCATTTTAGAGGCCATGTTTACGTTTTGAAAAAGAACCGCGGAAAAATTGTATTTTTGCGTGTAGTTTTTTTTCTAGGTGTGAAACATCCCCTAAAAAATTGTAAAAACTGAAATCAAGTCATAATATATCAGAAATTTTTTAAAAGAAGACAGACGTTTTCGTCGAAACATATTTTTTTAGCCTTAAATTTCAGCATGTCAGCTCGACAAACTGCCGAGAGAATACGGCCATGTTTACGTTTTGAAAAAGAACCGCGGAAAAATTGTATTTTTGCATGTAGTTTTTTTCCTAGGTGTGAAACATCCCCTAAAAAATTGTAAAAACTGAAATCAAGTCATAATATATCAGAAATTTTTTAAAAGAAGACAGACTTTTTTGTCAAAACATATTTTTTTAGCCTTGAATTTCAGCATGTCAGCTCGACAAACTGCCGAGAGAATGCGGCCATGTTTACGTTTTGAGAAAGGACCGTGTTTTACTACGCCCTGGCGCAACCTACAAACTTTCCACCCTGGCAAATACATACTATAAATGTTTATTGAAGTATCTAGTATCAGCTTATATTGCTAGAATTGGTATCTATTTCACTTGCAAAATGAACGAAGCGATTGTTGAGGAAAAGACATGCATTTTGAACTCGATTTTGACGACATTTTTTCTTTTTTGACAAAGCGCGGACGTATTTAAAATAGTGTTTTCTCCTCGTTGAGATAGGTTGAGATAAATTTGAACACACCAAACTTTAGACATTTAACTTGGCTTTATGTCTCACGTAAAATTGAACGGGGCTTTTTTGTGCTTTTTTCATAAAATGGAGGTATTTTGCAGCCTTTATAGTTTTCCGTAACACTGTCACTGTATTAAATGTCAACGACTGCAGTCGCACGAAAAAAGATTCACACTGAATATTTTTGGAGTGTCGGCGGCAGTTAGTTATACCAATAATAGAAATTAAATCAATTAATAAAAAACACTTTACAATGAACTTTCAATGGATTCCGAGCAGGCCGGCTCATGGTTAACACAAAAACGGTTATATATTTAAGTTTTCAAATTGTTCGAACAAATTGTAGTTGTTTTTTTCAAATTCTAGCTGTTTTAAATGCATGCATGGTCAATTTTTGGCTATATAATTATTGAAAAATAATAGCCAAGCAATGTCAGAATATTCTTACTATGAAAATGTTTATCCTACCTTCGCATTATGAAGTAAAATATCCCATTTCATACCAAAATTTTCGTATAATATTTTTGGAGTATGCCCACATTCGATCAGGTCGATTCCTTTTCAAATTTTTGTTTCACTCATGATGAATCTTTTTAAAGCCCTCTTTCCTTCATCAGATATACAGAAAATGAATTCAACAATGTCTTCAAACCATCAAGTTGTTTAGGAATGTGCAGAAAACAGTTTTTACTTTAGTTTTTTCAGCTCTTTTTTGCATAAACATTCCAATTCCATTTTTATTGACATTAAATTAATGTATACGGGGGGTACGCGCATCACACAAAGATCAGGGGCGCTATCTCCGTTTCACCGCCCGTGTTTTATAGCGCCCTGATCTAATAAAACACGACCCGCGAGTTTTTTAAATGACTTCAAAAACGTATGCATAATAAGTCAAATCTTTATATAAAAATCTTTATATAAAAATCTTTATATAAAAATCTTTATATAGTTTGCATAACAATGGTCTTTTGTTAAAGTGTTCTTTAGCTGGTATAAAGACGTATGAACGTGACTAATTTCTTACTCAAGATTGGATAATTGCTTCATGAATTATTAATGAGTTTTTGAAATCTCTATAAAGCACTATACTTTATATAATAATTGTTCATATAGTATTTTTTCAAAAACTTTACTAATAACAGGCAGAATGGAAATAGGACGATAATTATTAAATAAGTTTCGTGGACCTTTTTTGTGTTTTCCTTTTTGTGTTTTCCATTCAAATGGAATAGTTTCATCAAAAATTGCCGTTTTGAAAATCTTTGTTAACGGATTAGCAATTACTGGAGTAGCAATTCGAATTATTTTGGCAGGAATTTTATCAATTCCAGTAGATTTACAGGCATTTAAGGACCAAAGAATTAGCAGTTGACTCAGCCGTTACCCGCATGCGAAAGTAACCGGATGTTATATTACTATGCTATAAGTATATCTAGCGTAAAGCATTCGCGATTCCTATCTTTATTGACGGACTATCTTTATTGACGGGGGGATGACGTTTGTTGAAATTCAAAGCTTTTGTGGCATCTGTCCCAAGATTTTTTAAACTGATTGTAGGCAATATAACGCAAATCCTAGCGGCAAATGTTTAGACGATTTCTTATTTTATCTTGTCACGTTGAATCCAATCATAAAAATTTAAAATCCTGACCCCCTTGAAGCTTTATTCAAGAGCTTAACGTTTCTGTTCAAATGTATGTTTTTACCGGAAGTGTGCTTTCTGTGTTCGCAGGGAAACTTCCTACAGTAACCAATTGCGCATCCTGATTGGCTGAGAGCGAAATTGTCAACAAATGCGCTGATTGGTCGACAACGAAATTCCCCCTTGTTGACTCGGAAGAATCATGCAGTAGAATATAGTATCCTGCCAGTAGAGAGCCAATCAGATTGCGGAATGGCTTATATCCGGTAGCTGTCTATATAATAAATAAAACCATACTGTTCCATAAAAATTGTTGGTTCGTATTTGATATACACTGCCAGTTGAATTTCCGGGTACTCCAGTCGCTCTACTGTTTATTAGTTAGCGAGGAACAAAGGACTAACGCTCGAGGGTGTTTGCTAGCTTTGACGTTTGTTTGTCAGGTTTTCTCGGCACACAATAATAGCAGCATGCCAAATTATTGCTCTCAATTTTCCGTAGGAATGTTTAATCTCTCTTTTATGAATACGTTTTGCAATCTAAATTAAACTTATCACATTTGCATTTTCTGTGTTAAAAAGGAGTAAGTTCTCCTTTCTATTCGGGTAAGTGGCGTACGAAAACGTTAAACGCTATACCAAATGATATATATTTGATGGTTGCATTAACCAATGCACATTAATTTAATAACATTAAGGTCAAATATTAAAGGGTCATGATCAACCACAATGCAATGCGCGCTTCTTTTTATGTTTTTCAGTTACTTTCCTCAATAGTTGCCGCCATTTTCGAGGCCACAAAAATGGTTGCCTCTGGCCCACAACGTAACAGAAACGTAAACAAACGCACGCACTGCATTGTGGTTGATCATGACCCTTTAAGTAACTTTTAACAGACTTTCGACATGTCCATTCCTATACATACTTAAAGAAAAAATTACAGCTTAAACAGATATTGTAAAATAAATATTTTCCCATTTCATTAATAAGGCCGCGTTTACACTATGACGCTACGGCTAACACTCCGTTAAAAATTTACTACGTTTCTAGTATTAAGACTATATTGTGTTTACACTATTATTATATACATGACAAAATTACTGCAATCTGATTGGTTAAGAGGAGTGCAATTATTTCATTAATTATTTATCTTCTGTAATCAGTGGCAAATACTGCAATTTCATTGGTTTACAGGAGTGCGATTTGAGCATTAATCGCACCTTTTCTGAGCTGTAATCGCACTCTTGTCTACAACCAATGAAAATCAGTCTAGTATTTACAACTAGCCAATCAGCATTCAGGATACAAACTTTGAATTTTATTTTCTTTGTTGCTGTAAAAAAATTCAAAATGGAGGAATTCACAAATTTTGACCTTTTAATTTTTAAATCAGCCCTCGAAAACCGGCAAAATTGAGGTCGGAAAAAATATGCCGACCTAAATCTGACCTAGCTTGGCACATCT